TGTTTGCTTTTGACAAGGCTATTAATGATATTTGCAACTACTTTTTCCTTGCAATTTCCCATTTAACATTTATCCTCTGGGCTAACAATATAAGGTGGCAGATCTCTTAATATTTTATTTGTGATATTTAGATAATTGCCTTTTCTTAATTCACTAATGGTAATTACTCCTTTTAAAATGAATGCAGTAAGTCCCCCAACTTAAGAACATAATGGGGACTGAGAGGCTGTTTGTAAGTTGATTTGTTTGTATGTCGAAAGTCGGGTCTCCATTACTTTTTATCCCATTGTTTTAAAGTTTTGTTTACATTAAGAATACCTGTAAATAAATCCCAATAAGTACGACATACCTTATACAGTACCAGACTCTTGAACTATATTCGTGCCCGAGAAATTTGAAGTTTGCTAGCATCTTTCAAAAAAAATTTTGGACTTTAGTTCTTAAAAAATTTTGTTTGTATGTATGGAATGTTCATAAGTAGAATGTTCTTAAGTAGGGGACTATCTGTATATTACAAATCAAATGCTTAATAATCATGCATTAAAAAAAAAAAACCTGAAGCAAATAGTGAGAAATTTTCCATTTCAGAGAGGAGTTGGATCGTACCTTGGCCCGTTTGGAGGCTGTTTGGGACGACATTGGTCTGAACGAAGAACAGCGCAAGGAACGGCGTCATCATTTTAATGGTCACATTGTAGTAAGTTTACATGCAACTGCCATATTTTTCGGTTTGGTTATTTTGTATTTTATTCATGTGTAAGTAGAACTGGAAAGAGTTTCATGTTCCTCTAGGTACAGACTGTGAGGAAAGGGGTTTTCTACTTGTTTGCTGTTTTCTAGGATGAGGAACACTAATTCTAATTCATGGGTTGCATCAAAGGCTCTGTTTATTTTAGTAGTCCCCAATCTGTTAAATATTTATTTCTGTTACTTTGTTTATTTACTCACTGATTTTGTTTTAAGGATTGCATTTTATATATTTAAGTTTCCTTTACCTTTTTCATAACCTGTTTTAATGGTCCATTTCTTTTGAAATTTGCATTTGTGGAATATGCAATGCACATGTAATTTACAGAAATCAAAATCCCTCTTGTGCATATGAAAAAAAATCTTTAACAGTATTAGGACCCTGATGTATTAGAAACTATCACAATATAGTCCTTTTCCAGAATTAATTTTCATGCATTTATTTTTATTAATATTTCAGAATTTGTGTGAAAAAATAATTGATGATGAAACGGCTTTAAAAACAAGAATCACAAACAACATCGAACGTAATACTCAGGAGATCCTAAAACTAAGTGAGGTAAGTGAGGAGGATTGTAAAGTAATGAGCAACAAAATAAGGAATAAAGGCTTCACATACACAGGTTTGGTGTGTAAGAAGAGGAAAAGAGGGTGCTCTGAGGCTTTTGTGAATACCTCCTACTGGCTTTGTAAATGCTGTAAAATTGTCAAACATGTTATTTTTCTGTAGGGTCTTGGAGTAGTCCCAGAGGATGCTGTGGATGGTCTGACGTTACTAGACCTGGACACATTACTTCAAGAAAGAGTGGATCACCTTCTACAGCTCAAGGAACAACGGATGGACACTCTCAAGCTTTTGCAAGAAAAGGACGAAGTACGTTGTTGCATGTCATAGAAAGAAGAGATATCTTTTCACACTGCCTTGGTAGAAGACATAGATACATAAAGATCACATTTATTACAGCGAGATCAGAATTTTCTCTCTCCTGCTGTGAAAGAAATTGATACATGTAGAATTTATCTAACAAATTCCACTTACGCAATGTCATTATAGCAGGAACACATTGAAATAATGTTTACTAGAGGTTAGCATCATTAACTAGTTTGCAACTTTGCTGTATGAAAAGGCAAGTAATGGTAATGAAAGAAATCTCATAGTATTTGACATTTTCTCTAAACAAAGAGTATTTAGGAATGTTGCTACTAAATTGTCTTTTAATGTGTATTATAATTTCCAGGGAATCTGTGAATTACTTTGTGAAACTCCATATTACATTCCTGCTGGCTTGATCCCATCACTTGAAGATATAAAGAGTGTTGAAGATCATGTGAAGACAATGGAAACAGAGAAGGTAAAGTAGATCCAGAGAGCAGTTTGTGAAGATGCCGTTTTGCTGCTGTTTTTAATTTATTTATCCAATTGGAATTTCTGCTGAGCAGTAGAGCTAATATTTTGGCTTACATTTATTGCTTGGTTTGTCAGTAGGAGTACTTGGAAAATTACCAACCCAGTAAAAAAAAATGATGGGTGGCTTGGCAGGCCTGGCCGTGAGCATTTTAGCAGGCGAGCGGTGCATCGCTCTCGTTAAAGTCAGGCGGGCGATTTTCAATCTATTGAAAATCGTCCATAAAAGTGTACAAATAAACAACAAATGCAACATTGGTATTTAAACAGCTAAGTTTACAAAACAAGATGACAATTCTCCAACAGAAATAAAACGATAGTTTCATATAGTCGCAAATCAACCACATTCTCACAAACAAGGTTTGAACAGAACCAAACTTAAATCAAATAGCGTAATTTTATAACATTAGTACAAACTAAAAGTCATTCGAAAACTGGCATTTTGATGTTCAAGTTCAAGTTCAAGGTGATTAATGTTATTTTGAAGTCAAAACATAAGGGATTAAGTCCCTGTCAATATTTTAGTTTTAATTCAAGAGGTGTCGAGAAATGAAAGGAAAACCAAGGCGGGCGGTTAATGTGCGAACTGACATTGAGGCGAGTGATGAATAGCTCGCCTCGCTAACCCGAGGCGAGCGTGGAGGCGCGCGCGGGCGATCGCCTGCCTAAAATGGCCAGGTCTGGCTTGGTCATGGCTTAGGGATTAGCTGATTAGACTGAGATGTCAGTTGTGGTCCTCCAAGAATCTAAATAAGATATTGCCATCATAATTTGTGGTAGAAAATTGGTCTTTTAGGTAATTTGCATAAAGAATATTGTAAGCATCTTGGAACTGGATTTTGGAAGTGCTTTCTAGTTCTGAATAACCATTTTCATCTTCTCCTTGACATATTTCTGTTAAAATAGAGATTCTTTAGAATTTTAAGGGAATTTAAGCCAGCTGATAGTTCATTCATTTACAAAAGTCACTGATTATGCTTAATTAAATCCAAGCTTCTGAAAAGATTTTAAAAAGCTGTCTTGATTTCCAGGAAGAACGAGAGAAGAATTTTCGGACTTTGAAGGCGGGAATACTGAAATTCCTGGAGCTTTTAGAACAGCCACCGGAAGATTCCTTCTGCCAAGATATCATTTGCTCCGAGGATGATGATTTCCCCCTGGGAAAGGCATATTTGCAGCAGATGAGGGTATAGTTGTGTTTATTTTCATTGTTACTCTTTCTTTTGTTAAGAAATGAATTAAAGTTACAAGATTTGAACAGAAGTTGTAAATCATGCTAGAAATCTCCTTGGACCAGCACACGTTCAAGCCAGTACTCGGTCACCTCAGACCAATCTGGTCCACATCTATGCAGTTAACATAGTAGAAAAATTATGTACATTCAACCTAAAGATCTAGATGCTGGAGAACTGAAGAACTTAATGGCCCAGCTGAAGATTTGAAATACAAATCTTGTATTATCAACACCTAATGCAGAGCTGGACTTTATTCTGAAAGTTTCAGGAAACCTTGGAAAAATATATTTTTCAGTAATCTTTGACAGATTTAATAGAGTACCAATAACAGACAGTATCAGTGTAAAATATAATTTGGACAGGTGTTTACATGAATGTTGATAAAGAAAAAAACCCTTTTTGAATATTCAAGAAGTATCAGAATCCCTAGAGAAGGAAAAAAAGATGAGTGAAGAGGCTTGTATCACCCCTGGGAGGTTCTTACATGCCAAAATTTTCAAATTCAAATAAAAAATAGAGGATTCTTTATGAAAACAATGAAACTCTAAAAATATGTCCAAAGGTGGAGAAGTGCCATTAACATTACAAAGAGGTTGTTTTGATTTGATATATTTTACATCCTTGAAGAGAAATGCTATCAACAGAATTGCAGTTCACCAATTCCATGTATCCTTTTTTGGGTGCATAATGCAGTAAAATAGTATATTACCTTGTTATAGACACTGTAAGAGTCTGGTCACACCGTCAGTATACAGTAAAATTCTGCAACATTCCTGCGACAGTAAAATTATCAAAGAATATTAGAGAGGACAAAATTATGATAAACAATAATTCTAAAAGTGCATTACAAGCCACTTACAGTGAAGATTAATATGTTCCTGTTGTGTATAAAGTGCAAGTAGGTGTGAATTAATATCTGTAATGTCTATTTCTACTCTTAAACTACAAATTGTGAGTGTGAAAGAAAACTGGAATAATTAGAAACCTGAATTATGTACCTTTCCCAACTTTTTTTTTTTTCTTGTTCTACATACATGATAAAAGTTATTATCTTAATATACTTAAGAGTATGTAGCATAAACAGTAAGCTTTGTAATATCCATAATTTTCTTTATTGATATCCATCATATCCATTACCCTCTTATTTCTTTCTTTTTCCTTCTAGGGTGTTCACAGTGACCTTGAGTTCCGCGTCCACGAATGCGAGGTGAAATCGTTAGAGCTTCGTGAGAAAATCAGCTGGCTGTGGATTGCCTTAGAAATATCAGTAGAAGAACAGCAGGCGTTCCTCTCCACGGCACCTAAGCACACACCATCCAATATTGCAAAGGTCTTTTTTTTTCACGTGTTCCATTCCTGTTATTGTTATTTATGCATTTATATTATGGAAAGTTGTAGAAAGTTGAGTTGTAGTGATCAGTTGAAATTCAGGTTTAGCATATTCTTCAACAGCTGGAGGAAGAGCTGGAGAAACTCAAGTTGTTGCGCCTTCAAAATTTGTCGGTATTCATAGAGAAGCTTCAAGAAGAACTAGCTACTTGGTGGGAGAGGTGCTATGTTGGAGAGGAGGAGAGGAAGAAGTTTCTGGATCAGCAGCCAGGTTTGTAGATTCTTGTAGATGATGTAAATGATATCTGGATAGAAGAGGCTTTCTTGTGATATTGTAAGTTTAGTTATCTGGTTAAATATTATTTGTAGTTTTATAATCTGGTCTCTTGTTCTGTAAAAGAAGAGAAATATAGATGTCTATTTTACACTTGAACAAGTATTTTTTTCAGCTAATATTCCAAGTGCATTGGTAAAAGCATTAGAAAAATTACATTGTATATACTGGAACATCTGTGATTCTGAGGTAGATGAATCCAGGAGCAATTATTGTAGTTATAACCATTTTATTATTATAAAAAAATATATATATTATCTATGGACACATTTCTTCACCAAAACAGATGATGCAAGTGAAGAAGTTTTAGATGCTTATGAAAATGAAGTTCGTAAGTGGAAGCAGCACTATGAAGCCAATAAGGATATTTATATACTGGCTACACAATTTATGGACCTTTATAACCACATGTTGGAGTTAGAGGAACGGGCCAAGGATCCCAGCCGTCTTTTCAACACAAGAGGGGGGGCGCTGCTGCTTGAAGAAAAGGCCAAGAAGAAAGTGAGGACTGTAAGTATTTTTGAGTATTTTCGGAAGTATTCCTTAATCTGTTTTGTGTAGATTTATTTTGCTCTTATCAACCCACTTCTCAGCGTAAACCTTGTGTTGATGACTTACAGGAGCTCCCAAGAGTCCAAGAGAGTTTGCTTGAAAGTGGCAGAATTTGGGCTGAGCAGGAGGGAAGATCCTTCCACATTAATGGTGTGCCTTTGGAAGATTATATTAGAGTGCTGTGGGAAAACTATGATATGAAGAAAGAAGCAGAAAAGACTAAAAGAGTAAGTTTAGTGAATGTCACAATATTCTTTACTTTTCTGGTACACCTTATTTGATATTAATGCTAGCATAACACATATATGCAAATATTTCTATTCATTTCTGTCACTATGCTTATAAATGATTTTCCATAAATAATCCTTTCTCTAATATGCCAGCAAGTAAAAGGGCCTCAAGAGGTTAAACGTCCAGGTTTACATAACCCCAAAACTCCAGCTGGACTCACAGCCAGTAAGAAAAGATGCCGTGAAGGTGAAGATACAGCAAGCACAAAGAAGATGAAACCTGGGGTATCACTGTTTAAGTCACCTTCAAAATCAACACTCCGCTCACCCACAAAGGTAGTTAGCATGAGTTCTAGGAAGTCCATGAATCTGTAATGCCATGCTGTTCTCTTCAGATGTTAATGTGTATGCTGCTCTAGATTTTTCACAAAATTGTAACTAATAAATAGGGTCTGTCTATTTATTTTCCAGTGTAATAGATGTGTTAGTTAGAAATTTTGTAAAGGCTATGAAATATACTTTAATCTTCATCTGTGATGTAAATATGCTTAATCATGATTATGTACAGTATATGCAACATGATATAATCTTTAACCATGGGTGCAAGATGGAAAATTGTATTATGTGACACAATCCTGTTAAAGCAGATTTTTATTGTGCATTTTTCAGTGTATTTTGTACAGCTTATTCCAAATCTTTTTGTAAATACTAGTCTCCAGTTAGATGTAGATTATTTGTCAGCTATTACTCTTCAATTACTGCCAAGGACAGACCAAAGAAACATTTTTCTAACTGACAGACACCGAGAACCAGACCCCTAACAGAGCGCAATGGCCAGCTCTGTCCTCCACCAGTCTCATCCACTGACACAAGCCTACATTCCACCATCTCATACGATAAGTTTGAAGTAAGTTGAAAGTGAATCATACTTGTGTTGTGTATGTGTATTTTTTGTATTTAGTACCTCTAGTCTTTTTTACTCTTTATTTCATGTTTCATTGGTTTACTCTTCCTATTTTCCTCTTGGTTATCTCCTCTCCCGCAATGATCAATTAACCTGGGTTGGGTGTTTTCAGTACTTCAAGAACTTTGTAAATATATATATGTTTATTTTCCCTTTTGCTTTTCCTTTTTTAATCTTCACAAAAAAATAAATAAATAAATAGATAAAAGGCTGTCTTTATCGTAAATCATGTACTAATCTCAAGTGATATACATAATCATGAATACCTGTGCAACTATGGAAAGTATACATGTATATACCTTAATGTGCTTTGCTTTATGTCCAAAAGAAAGTAAACGGCCACAGTTGCCTATTAGCTTCTTTGATGAAAAATGTGTATTTATGTTCATTTTAAAGGAAAACAGTTGAGGTAAATTATTCCATCACAGAAATGATGAATTTCAGTAACAGCATTATGTTTGCAGGACAACTTAAGAAGTAGCAGAGAATGTCTCAACAGTACAACTCTTGACCAAGCTAGTTCAGAAGCAGAAAGGTCATTCTTATAGCTTTTGTATGTGCTTTAACCACTAACTGTCTTCGTGCCTGTCTGGGTCCTAAAGGTGTGTTGGTGTCATGTTTCAAGCTGAGTGACTGTGCTTTTTTTATTTTATTTTATTTTTTCTTAATGGAATTTTTTTTTTGTATGTTCTGAATGCTGATTG